CACCCGCTCTGTTTGAAATCTTTTTTTATAATTTGGGGGGGGGGGGGGAATAAGTAATATATGTATAAAAGGATGTACAGTGACCATAAATTTCCTAGTCTCTCTTCTGTACCTGGCCCCACCACCCTGTTTGACTCTTAGTAAGTAACCACTGATACTTGTATGTATCCTTCAAGAGATATTCTATACATATGTAATTTAGTCAATTTCCAGATTATTTTACTCTATAAGAAAAAAGAATCATGTTAGGAAAAGATAAGATTATAGATTCTTTCTTTTTGGATGCCTGAATTATTCTAACTTGTTTCTTTTATAAGCTGTAAGTGTTGACCAAGTAAGGGAAGTAAATGGTGTACATGTCTGCTCTTTCCTTCCCTTTTCAGGGCACTTAGCATGATGTCTTCATCAACAGTCTTTTCTTCTTCCCTCTTGAAGTCTTCACTTATTCCAGGAGAATTAGAATTATTCTTATATCTGGCATTCCCCAGGACCATCACCCATTACTACATGGTTTTCTGAGCCACTTAGTTTAGTTCATCAAAGAAATATTTATTTAGGTGCCCATTGTCAGTAATTCAAATTGAATAAAATATGGTCCCTGCCCTCTAGGAGCTTATATATAAATATATAAATAGTTGTACTCAACAAACAAACATAAGCAGAGAGAGGACTGGATGGACTTCAGCTCTACCTCTTAAGGAGAAGTTTTATAAAGTAGGTTTCAATACCTCTTAGATGAGAAATCAGAGATGGGACTGAGCACATATATATGGGATATACACAGGATATGTTCTAGAAATATTAGAAGGTAATATTAGCAAGGACATATTCACTGGCTACGTGTAAACAGAGTTAAAGGAAAGAGCCTGAGCCCCAGATTTCAGTTTTGGATAAATATGTGCCACTGACCAAGATACCCTGTGTGTTTAGGGGGAAGTTGATGACTTCAGTTTTGGACATTGGTTAAAGTGCCTATGAAACATGCAAGAAGACCTGGCCTATAGAGTTTTGAGAAGAAGGCAGGTTTAGAGACACATTTCTAAATCTTCTGCCAATTGGTATTATGTTAAGTCAAGGGAGTTGAAGACATTATTCAGGGAGAGAATGTAGTGTGAGAAGAGATAATGGGCAGAACCATCGCCATTTTAGGTAGGGAGAAAAATAATCTGCAATGAAGACTCAGAAGATAAGAGGAAATCAGGAGAGCATATTGTCTAGGAAGGCAGGGTGAGGTCAGCAGGTTGACATGCTGAAGAGAGAGGTCAAGTAACATAAAGGCTGAAAAAATGTGTTGGATCTGGCTGTAGAAGATCATTGGTGACTTTGGTGAGACTAGTTCTATTTTGGAAACTGAATTTTCTGAATATGCAAGTGGATTATTTCTACTGAGTTGTTTTGTGGTTAACCCAGTTCCACTCTCAAAGACTCAAATGCCATCAGAGTCTAGGAGATAATATAAATGAGTGAAGTGGGCTGGAGCCAATGGCCCGTCTAAAGAGAATAGCCCTACCTAGCTTTAGATTATTGATTCAGTTTTTCAAAAAAATGCCAGATTTTTGGATTTTTCTTTTTAATTTGTAAAGTTGATAATTAATTTTAAGAAATTAAAAAACTGATCAATAAAACCCTTCTGTGGTCTGCATTTGACCTCTTTCTTTGTTTAAGATTTAATTATAGGTTTATTGTGCTAGAAGTTATCTAACATGCTTTCTTTTATTTAGGGTGTTCAAAAAGAGGAAAGAGAGAAGTACCGAAGGTTATTGGAGCGACTTAAAGAAGGTGGTCATGGAAACTCTGTTCCTCCTGTAGCTTCAGCTCATCATAGGTAAAGATGAGCTAATAAGATAAATGCTTTACCAGACATTTTTTCCCTTATATTTGGAGAGGGAATTGATAGGAATTATTGCAAAAAGAAGTTAACATTGAGAGAACCAGCCCTGTGATTTGTCTGAACAAACTGTATGTAGTAATGGATTATATAGAAGAGTGGTTTTACAAAATAACATTTTCTATTAGCTTTAGAGTCCTTTGTTCAAGCATACTCTTACTCGAAATTCTGATATAGAAAAGTGGAATCACAGATTGATGTCAGAGAGTAGAGAGTTTTTTCAACCTCCCCAACATACACATTTCCTATAATCCCTGTCTTTCTCTCTGTCTGCCTCTCTTTCCCCTTCTTCTCTCCTGCTTGTCCCTCCTCCTCTTCCCTCCCCTTCTCTCCCCTCCTCCATATAAACATAGTCCTTGAGCCATCTTAGTGGATGCATCTTAGCACAATTGGAAGCCCTCCACTTTAGAGACAAGATTAAAGCACCTCAGGTCATAAGTATTTCTTATAAGACTCCTTGTTAATTAAATACTCTGATTTGAGCAAATAGATGAGAATGGCAGAAAGAGTTGATGTTTGGCCTTATATCTTCTTGTAAACGGGGACAAAAACATGTGAGCTCAGGATTTAGGTACACTTGATAATTCCAACAAGTGAGAATACACAGAGGGGAGTCCCAGAAATTACATAACAGCAAGTTGAAGGTGAAAAAGTCACAAGGCTAACTAGCTTGTTGAGCGCAGAAATTACAAAGGAATATTTGTCTGGGAAATTGAACTTTGGTTGTGAACTTTAAAGTTTTAATTTTTTTTTAGTTTAGTCAGTCAGAACATTAATATTTTCTCCATTTTGACTAGCCACTGTTGAAAGCAGCAGTATGCTTCATGAGCTATTGGTTTTGTCATGCCAGCAAAATCCTCAAACATATTTGCTTTTTACATTCTTGTTTTTAATGTGTTGTTTCAGGATCCAGTTAAGTGTGTCATTTAAAATTTTCCATCTTTTAACCTGAGTTTTATCACACTTCAGAGTTTTCAGTCAAGGTGGCATTGGGGATTGAGAATGTCCACTTTTCCAAATAGAATTAGGATTAGACTTCTTTTATTCTAGTCCCGGATGGTGCTATGTTGCATCCTCTTTCTTATAACTCAATGTTTCAGGGTAATCAGTAATTCCTGTTTGGAGAAGCTGGTCAGACAGAGATAATGAGTATTTATGGTAGAGTCTCCTTTTGTATCTGATTGTCTTTGCTTTTTGTGTTTCTAAGTTCTCAGAGAAGTCAGATGGACACATTAAAGACCAAAGGCTGGGGGGAAGAGCAAAGTCATGGAGTCAGAACAACTCAGTTTGTTCCAAAACAATGTGAGTTCCCAGATTTAGCCCTTCTTTAATATATTGAACTTAGCTCATATGCATATGAAATTGAAAAATAAAATACTAGTGCAAGATGGTATACCAAACTTTTTATCAGACCTGAGGACATTGACTGGGATTTACTCAATGCAGTAGTTTAGTAAAAAAGTTATTTCAAGATGAAGCAGATTTATAAAATACCTCTTGATTATTATTCCTAGCTACTATATATAGTAATACATATGTTGTGACCCTAAAATTAATTTCTTTATATTTCTTATGTTAATTTCCTTGTATTTCTCCACTTGCTGTCCACTAAATGATAGCTTACCAAATGAGCAGATAGCAGTCAGTTTACACTAAAGATAATATTTAAGAAAGCAATTTATTCATCTTTAAAAAGCAACTTGATTTGTAAAAAGGCTACTTACTGTCTTTGGAATTCATTCTACCATTTCAATGAAAGTCAATGTCTTGATGCTTTGGAAACTACATAAGTTGGAATTCTAGCTATATTATTGATTATTAAAGGAAACACTTAATTTTTTCTTTACTACCCACACAGACAGAGTTGTTGAAACAAGAGGACCTCTATGTTCAGTGAGGAGTGAAAAGAGGTACATGGTTTAGTTCATTCTGAGTTTTCTTTTGTCATTATTTATGAGTCACCATGTCTGAGGAATTGTGAACTCTCCTCAGCTCCAGTAGCTGGTCAGCATATATGGGTACATAGGTAGCTCTTGTGTTTGATGCCCATCCTAACTTGGGAGGGTGCCTTTCTCTCATAGACATTAAAGATTGGGAGATGCAGGTGCCACTTGAATGAGTGTGAGTGTAGTGGGCATCTCTAGTATATGAATAGAAAAGGCAGTTCTGTGTGCCTTAGGATTTTGGATGATAGTTCTATATTTATAGTACAGAGTTAAGTAAAATATGGCCCATGGGCCAAATCTGGTCCACCTGCCTGTTTTTGTATATAAAGTTTTATTGGAATGCAGTCATATTCATTCATTTATATACTGTTTATGGCTGCTTTTAAACTATACGTTGAGAAGATGTGACAAAAACCATTTAAGACTTGCAAAGCCTGAAATATTTACTACTGAGCCTTTTGAGAAAAATTTTGCTGACTCTTTGTTTAGAGGACTATAAACTCAAGGCAATTTTCGTTTGCAAATTATTAAATCTTATTTCTAAAACTAGAAAATTTTCTGGTTATTTCTTACATGTACCAGGTTAAAATCATCTAGTCTGTGATTTCTATATTTTTTCCCTCAGGTGTTCAAAGGGGAAAATTTCTGATACAGAGAAGATAGTTGGAATCAGACTTGAAAATGAAGGTGTAAGTAGAAATCCCAGTTAAATTTTATATCTTTTTACTCTTTCACGTGACTTAGTATTAAAATTTTGGTACCCATGAAAAATAAGAAAGATGATATAAAGTACTTTGATTTCTAATTCTGTTGTTTTCTTTGAAAAAGCAGCAGGCATTGAAGATATACAACTTTAGCTTCCTTCTGAGTTGCTGGATTTTTATCTCTGTGCAGTGACCACCTTTGTAAGAGAGACCAGTTTGCCTTCATCTCAGCCGTTACCTGTGCTGCTTGGCTTCTTTTAGAGAATTTTTAAAAACTGTACAACTCTAGAAAAGATACATGTTTAGGACTTTATTTTCGGAGTCAAGATTTCAGATTTACTTAAAAATAGTATTAATCTTATGCTTAATTGGAATGAACTTTTTCTATATAAGTATCTGAATAAGAAGTGTTCCAGTGATCTCCATAGCAATACCAACTTTTTTAATAATAGTGACAAACATTCCATATCCAAAAGAAATATATTCCTAAATTAAATGTGAACTTGAAATTTTAGATTACTTAACATTTTAGATACATACAAATACCAAAGCTTAGGAGACAGGTTTGTGTTAAGTACAGTATCTGTTAGATCAAGTTTCTCTTGTCTTATTAGATTTCTTCATAAGAATTAGTCTTAAAGTGAAGTCATAGTTTAAAGCCATGGTATTAAGTCATAAGTCTTAGAACGTTCTCTTCTCTAATGTTCCCCATTTCCAGTGATTCAGAGTGAAGCCTAATTATCATTTATCACTCATGGAACAAAAACTGAAAGAAGAGGTCAACTAAGCCTGAGAAAGGACAGGGTCGTGGTGGTGATGGTGGTGGTGGTGGTGGTGGTGGTGGTGGTGGTGGTGGTGGTGGTGGTGGTGGTGGTGGTGGTGGTGGTGGTGGTGGTGGTGGTGGTGGGGGCGGTGGTGGTGGTGGCGGCAATAATTTGTTACCTGGCTAAAGACTACAATCCTGCTTCTGTCCTTGCTGAACCCAAAGGCTTTGCTGTCTGCAATCATGGGGAAGGGCCGCAGCTACTCGTTTCCCAGGGCTGGTATACCCGACAGTTAACTAGAGTAAAGAGTAATGGTTAAGTGTGTTGAGAATATGGTTCTAGTTCAAAGCTCTATTTTTAAAATAAATTTTCTAATTTTAAAATAGTTTGCCTACCAGATTAAATTCAATATTAACTGTTACAAAGGGTCATGATGAGGAAGGATCTTATCAGAGTTTCTGGGATACTGGCAGAATTCTGCTTGTTGACCTGAATGATGGTTACATAGGTGTTAATTTTATAAAAAACAAATGATACATTAATGTTTCATGCATTTTTCTGTAATATGTAATTACTTTTTAAAAAAGAAGAACAAGTTTACTTAGTATAAGGATCACAGGAGTTTATTTTGTGTGATGGGATTATGGATAATATTTTTTGTTGTTTTAAAACTTTAAATTGTCTTCTAACTATACTGTTTTTAATTCGGATAAGAGAACTGAAAATACTTTTCTTGCTACCTTCAGGGAAAATGATGAGTGTTCTGTTTAATGATTTCTAAGTGAAGTGTCTCTTGTGAGCCTTAGGTCTTGAACACTTTTTGGTCCCTCTTGAAGGGATAGGCAGATACGCTAAATCTACTTTACTCATTTGGGAAATTGCTAATTCTCTTCTCTTTTGAGATAATGGCACTGTTTTATATTTTATGTATTTATGTATGTTTATATGTACAAGTATCAAACACATTGATAGAATTTAGAAACTTTCTCCTTCAGAGGAGGGGACACCAGCTGGAACCTGACCTATCTGAGGAGGTTTCAGCCCGACTTCGCCTGGGCAGTGGAAGCAATGGCTTACTCAGGAGGAAAATATCAATACTTGAGACAAAAGAAAAAAATTGCTCAGGCAAAGAGAAGGATAAAAGGACGGATGATCTTCTTGAACTTACAGAGGTATTATTTCTTGTGTTGATCAGAATAAGAGACATGTTTTTAAATAAGCTAACTTATTGAAGACTTGAATGACTGTTTTGAGGAGCTTCCCCAGGCTAGGGATGAGTATATGAAGAAAATCAGGCCTAAGGGCTGCTTTTAGTCACTGGCTATATTGATCATTAATGGTCTGTAAAGGTGGCCTAAAGGATCAGATTAATGTTCAACAAATGTGCGTAGACATAATTATTATTATCACATATTTATTATCACATAATTATTATCACATATCTTGGAATACACTGGGTTCTTTGTAGAATCTTTCTCTAACCTTAAAATATTTTAGGTCACATAGTTTGGCATTAGGAATGAGTTCACTGCAGGTTTCTTTTAAGTAATTATGGTTTACTAAAATGTCCCTTTCATTAATTATTGCGTTGGAAAATAGTAAAAATTTATAGAAAACAAGGAGATGAAGGTAGTTAAAAAGTCTTGTTTAAAAGGTATGCCAGAATCTTGGCTCCTTTTCCATTGCTATCTTGCTAGGTGGTAGTCAGACCTATTCAGTGAATATCTCTTGAGCATTTACTGCATATTGGGCATGCAGGTGGAGAGAGAGAGCCATAAAATTGAAAAATTGTGTGCAGTGGGAAGCAATATTAACAATATTTGGCTGAAATAATTTCTCTTGGTTTATTGATTGAGGTTTGTAGCTTAAATATACATTTATTTACATAATTCTTTAGAGTAATGAAGCTCTCTGTTTAGTAAGGACTCAGTTCCTAGACTGATGCCTAATGTCCCACTTTGCGTGTTGCTTACTTTCATGTCAAAAATGGATATTATGATCTCTTAGGTATCCTAATTTTCTTTGATGTATTTAAATAAAAGTTTAGGAGGGGAATAATAATAGCATGAAGATACTTTTATAGTATTGTGAAAGGAGCAAAGGCTAGGAAGTTAGATAGATACTCCTGGCTTCAAATCTTGACTTGGCCTTTTAATAATCTATGACTTTGAGCATGTAACCTAAATTCTATGAGTGTTACCTCTTGTATAAAATGGTGATGATATTTTCCCCACAAGCAGGGATTAATGATGTACTTCAAGCATCTGGTACCATGTTTGGCTCAAAGTGCTTAATAAATAGTAGTGGGATAATTGAGAGTATAGTTTATATGTAAGTATTATTACCAAATTATTATTTCCAGAAGCTAATAATTCAAGCGACATTTTTTATATAACCATTAATAAGACTTTTGGAGTCTAAGTTTAAATCTTTTCATACATCAATTTAGTAGGTCTTTTGTTAGTATATTTTTCTCAAGGGTCAGGTATTACAAAGGCAAAAGTCACTTTTTTCAGTCTCAGACTTTAAGTATCTGATAGTGGTTCTATGTTAAAGTAGCAACCTCTGGACTTTCTAATTCAGGACATGGAAAAGGAAATCAGTAATGCCCTAGGCCATGGCCCACAGGATGAGATCCTAAGTAGTGCTTTCAAATTGCGAATCACTAGAGGAGATATCCAGACCTTGAAGAACTATCACTGGCTCAATGATGAAGTAAGTTGTTTTTTTCCCCCTTTTAATATCATTATGCTTAACCATTGAACACTTATAAACCTTGGGTGCCACTGACCAATGGAAGGAACAGCAAGTGATACTTTTATTTTAGATGAATTCTTATAGGAGCCATTTTATTTTGTCAATAATAAAGGCATATATTGATCACTGTATGTATCTTTTAATTTCATTTGAGTAATAACTGCAAAAATTTGCCTAATTGTCAGCTTCTATCCTTATATATTTAGCTAAAGCTAGCTTTCAGTCCTTGCCAGTTTTCCAGTTGGTCCTTTACCTAATTGCTCAGTCTGCATTTTCTCCTCTTGCTTTCCTTCCTCCTCCTCTCATGACGAGTGACGTATATACACATTTTTGTAAAACTAGAATGTTTTGTTTCACATTATAAATGTAATATATTTATTATAGAAAATTTAGAAAATACAGAAAAGTGAAAGAACAATATCGTTGTTTAAAAGTGCCACCGAACATTAACAAAATATTAATGTTTTGGTGTATTTCCTTCCAGTTAATATTTTTAAATTGAGGCATAATTTATATATAGTAAAATTCACCTCTAGTTAATATTTCTGCGTATTTTTTGTGTGATACAGTTACATACACCTTTTCATTATTGCATACTTTCCCCTCGAGTTCCTTCTCTTAGCTCTCTTACTAATATGCTTCAAAAGAACAATTTTATTCTTTTTTAATCCCTCCCATTTTGCACTGATCATTTTTTATTTTCCATCTTCTGTGATAGCCCTTCCTTTTATCCCTTCTCTAATACCTTCTCTTCTCTAGGTTTCTTATCTTTTAATTCATCCTAATTCAGTTAGGTTAGAAATTTAGTTTCGATAATGTACTTGCCATGTTCTGATGTTTTCTCTCTTGGTATTACAGGTCATTAATTTTTACATGAATCTTCTGGTAGAAAGAAATAAAAAGCAAGGTTATCCAGCACTTCATGCATTCAGTACTTTCTTCTATCCCAAGTTAAAATCTGGGGGTTACCAAGCAGTGAAAAGATGGACCAAAGGGGTCAGTCTCTTTGAACAGGAACTTATTCTGGTGCCTATTCATCGGAAGGTACATTGGAGCCTGGTGGTGAGTTGAGAGAGATTAATTGTTAGAGTTTGCATAATGACCATTTTCTTAAATGTCAGGAAAGGCTTTTAATACACACAGTTATCTATTTTGTTTACAAGATGATACAGGTTAGTTAGTTGTAGAAAAGTAAAGGTTTTAGAGGAAAAAGCAAAAAAATCTCATCACTCTGAGAGGACCACTGTGTTTTGGAGATTTAAGTTTCTAAGCCTTTTGGTAGGGATAGAAGTATATAATTATATAGAAATGAAGCTCATATCATCTGTATTGTTTTTTTTTAAAAATGTATCTTATAAATCCATGTTGGTACATGTATTGATTTTTTAAAAGATGCTTTTCCTTTTAGAAATAAAGTTCTCACTCCTATTATGGTTGATCCTGGATGTTCAATTTTTCCATTATAGGTGATAGACCTAAGAAAAAAGTGTCTTAAATATCTGGATTCTATGGGACAAAAGGGCCACAAGATCTGTGAGATTCTCCTGTAAGTAAAGACTAAAAAACTTCACTGTTGCCTCTTTATCCCCTTGTTAGGTGATCTATCTTCTCTCTAATCCTATGAGGCTCTGGTGGGTGGTTGTCTAATGTCTCCCCAGGTGTTCAGGTCTTGACTTAAATCCATCTTTTTGTCTAAAAATAACCTAATAGCTGATCTTCACTAATACGTCTTATTTAGTAGCACCACTGAAAACAAATTTGTCATGTGGTATAATATAAAATTAATCTCATTAGAATCCCGTGATTTGAATTAGATTTCTTTGGGATTGATACATTATTCTGAATGTTCTAAAAAACTGTTAGCTGAGGAGTATTAAGCCCACTCATGTCTCTGTGCTTCCCATGATAGGTTCATCTCATGGAACCTAGAGGTAATTTTTATTTTTTTATTTTTATTTTCTTTTATTTATTTATTTATTTGTTTATTTTTAGGTGAGGCAACCCTTGGTTGACCTCACAAATTGTAAGGACCTTGTCAGCTTACAATCCCTTATTATTTTTTTTTATTTTTTACGCCTATAGCACCTGGTCTTCCTAGGTGGTCTCCCATCCAAGTACTAACCAGGCCCAACCCTGCTTAGCTTCCAAGTTCAGAGGGAATTGGGCTTGTTCAGGGTAGCATGGCCGTAGCCTAGAGGTAATTTTTAAATTAAAGCATATGGTTTGTAGGCAGCTATTTCAAGTAGTAATTGTTAGAAACCTGCCTTTAAAGCGTAGCCACTCATTAGCTATGTTAAGTAGTGACATGAATTTCACAGTGAGGAAGTAAATTAGTAAGACAAGTTAATTTTGAACCTCTGCTGCTCACTGGAAGCAAATGCACATCCTGTTTTTAATTTTAATGAGAATATGGAGATAATTTTAATAGGGATACTTTAAGGAACTTGTTAAATGAATGATAGGAAGAAAAGTTGTTAATAATTAGTTCGATTCTTATTTTTCAATACTGTTTTAGTGTATTTTTATTTAGGGCATTTATCTTAAATAAAAAGTATAGAGAAGAAATTTTTTTAAATCAAAAGATGCACCAAATTGTTTGTAAAGCAGTTATTTCCTTCTAGTCTTTTGTGTTTAAGATTTCCTTTACTACACATAAATGATATGTGTGTGTGTGTGCATATACACATACTTATATATGATCACATGCATAGAAATATTTTCATTGGGATTAGACAGAGTTTTATATGCTGCTTATAACAGGGTACCAAAAAACCCATACTTTTATTACATTCATACTATTTTACGTATGAAGAGTTTAGTTCCTGTGGTTATCTGAGGCCCACTCCATTTCCTGATATCCCTAGTTCAGCTTTTCTCAACTTTTTTTCCATTATTACCTCCACACCCTCTGCCCCTCAAAAAAATTAATTTCTCTATTACAGGAGAAAATAATACTAAGGAATAAGACTTTTCTTTTGTTGGGTTGAGCTTTAGAGGGCTACAAGCCATTGAAATTCCTAAGAGTTTTGCCTTCCAAGAACCATTTTGCGCCCCCTTGGGGGTGATATTGCCAGACCCATTGAAAGGCGTGCCCTCAAGTAATGCTGGTTTACCTTCTGTTCAGATTAGGATGAGAACTGAGATGCCTAGGTTAAATTTGGTAATCCTTTGGAAATTTGGATAAAATTAATTACTCAGTACTTAACTATGTATCTCCCAAGAGTAAGGAAGTCCTCTTACATAATAACCACGATGCCATTATCATACTTAAGAAAATTAGGAATTAGTGATACGTTAATACATGGTTCATTTTCTCATTTCTTCAGATAGCTTTTATGTTTTTTTCCCCCTAATCCAGGAAGCCAGTCAGGGTTCGTGCACGTACTTAATGTCTTCAGTCTCCTTTAATTTAGAATAGTCTTCCTGACTTTTTTTGTTTTTCACAGCAATCACTTTTTTTCTTTTTTAAGAGTCTAGGCCAGTTTTCTTGTTTTATGTATGCTTTTTAAAAATTTTTTAAAATTAAAAAAATTTTTTTTTATTTTTTAAATTTTAATTAGTTTCCAGTATATAGTACATTAGTTAGACATCTATATAGTTTGTAAAATGATCCCCCCAATTGTTTCCTCCCTCCCCTGACCCTCCACCTAGCTAACATATTAATGCTAACTGCATTCCCTATGCTGTGCTCCCCATCTCCGTGACCACCCATCAGCTCATTTGTACTTCTTTAACCCTTCACCCTATTCTCCCAGCCTCCCAAACCTCTCTTCCCTCTGTCCAGCACCAAATCGTCCACTATTTTTGTGAGTCTGATTTTGATTAGTTTGTTCTTTTTATTTCTTAGATTCA